ATGTAGTGACCTCCCGGTACGTTCCAGGGTCGGTGATTTAGTGACCTCCCGGTACGTTCCAGGGTCGGTGATGTAGTGACCTCCCGGTACGCTCCAGTGTCGGTGATATAGTGACCTCCCGGTACGTTCCAGGGTCGGTGATGTAATGACCTCACGGTATACGTTCCAGGGTCGGTGATGTAGTGACCTCACGGTTATACAGTGACCTCCCGGTACGTTCCAGGGTCGGTGATGTAGTGACCTCCCGGTACGCTCCAGTGTCGGTGATGTAGTGACCTCCCGGTACGTTCCAGGGTCGGTGATGTCGTGACCTCACGGTATACGTTCCAGGGTCGGTGATGTAGTGACCTCACGGTTATACACTGACCTTCCGGTACGTTCCAGGGTCGGTGATGTAGTGACCTCCCGGCACGTTCCAGGGTCGGTGATGTAGTGACCTCCCGGTACGTTCCAGGGTCGGTGATGTAGTGACCTCACGGTACGTTCCAGGGTCGGTGATGTAGTGACCTCCCGGTACGTTCCAGGGTCGGTGATGTAGTGACCTCACGGTACGTTCCAGGGTCGGTGATGTAGTGACCTCACGGTTATACGTTCCAGGGTCGGTGATGTAGTGACCTCCCGGTACGCTCCAGGGTCGGTGATTAAGTGACCTCCCGGTACGTTCCAGGGTCGGTGATGTAGTGACCTCACGATGCGTTCCAGGGTCGGTGATGTAGTGACCTCACGGTTTTACGTTCCAGTGTCGATGATGTAACCTCACGGTTATACAGTGACCTCCCGGTACGTTCCACGGTCGGTGATGTAGTGACCTCCTGGTTATACGTTCCAGGGTCGGTGATGTAATGACCTCCCGGTACGTTCCAGGGTCGGTGATGTAGTGAGTAGTGACCCGGCCGGTACGTTCCAGGGTCGGTGATGTAGTGACCCGGCCGATTACACGTTCCAGGGTCGGTGATGTAGTGACCCGGCCGATTATACGTTCCAGGGTCGGTGATGTAGTGACCTCACGGTTATACAGTGACCTCCCGGTACGTTCCGGGGTCGGTGATGTAGTGACCTCACGGTGCGTTGCAGGGTCGGTGATGTAGTGACCTCACGGTATACGTTCCAGGGTCGGTGATGTAGTGACCTCACGGTTATACAGTGACCTCCCGGTACGTTCCAGGGTTGGTGATTTAGTGACCTCCTGGTACGTTCCAGGGTCGGTGATGTAGTGACCTCCCGGTACGTTCCAGGATCGGTGATGTAGTGACCTCCCGGTACGTTCCAGGGTCGGTGATGTAGTGACCTCCCGGTTATACGTTCCAGGGTCGGTGATGTAGTGACCTCCCGGTACGTTCCGGGGTCGGTGATGTAACTAGTGATGTGACCTCCCGGTACGTTTCAGGGTCGGTGATGTAGTGACCTCCCGGTACGTTCCAGGGTCGGTGATGTAGTGACCTCACGGTACGTTCCAGGGTCGGTGATGTAGTGACCTCCCGGCACGTTCCAGGGTCGGTGATGTAGTGACCTCACGGTACGTTCCAGGGTCGGTGATGTAGTGACCTCCCGGTACGTTCCAGGGTCGGTGATGTAGTGACCTCCAGGTTATACGTTCCAGGGTCGGTGATGTAGTGACCTCACGGTACGTTCCAGGGTCGGTGATGTAGTGACCTCCCGGTACGTTCCAGGGTCGGTGATGTAGTGACCTCCCGGTTATACGTTCCAGAGTCGGTGATGTAGTGACCTCCCGGTACGTTCCGGGGTCAGTGATGTAACTAGTGATGTGACCTCCCGGTACGTTCCAGGATTGGTAATGTAGTGACCTCCCGGTACGTTCCAGGGTCGGTGATGTAGTGACCTCCCGGTTATACGTTCCAGGGTCGGTGATGTAGTGACCTCCCGGTACGTTCCGGGGTCGGTGATGTAACTAGTGATGTGACCTCCCGGTACGTTCCAGGGTCGGTGATGTAGTGACCTCCCGGTACGTTCCAGGGTCGGTGATGTAGTGACCTCACGGTACGTTCCAGGGTCGGTGATGTAGTGACCTCCCGGCACGTTCCAGGGTCGGTGATGTAGTGACCTCACGGTACGTTCCAGGGTCGGTGATGTAGTGACCTCCCGGTACGTTCCAGGGTCGGTGATGTAGTGACCTCCCGGTTATACGTTCCAGGGTCGGTGATGTAGTGACCTCACGGTACGTTCCAGGGTCGGTGATGTAGTGACCTCCCGGTACGTTCCAGGGTCGGTGATGTAGTGACCTCCCGGTTATACGTTCCAGGGTCGGTGATGTAGTGACCCGGCCGCGTCCTCGCCATGGTGAAGGTCGCGCCGGCTGGCGACATCTCTGCCCGACTGCCGCTGCTGCTGCCCCTACTGACAGTGCTGCTGCTGCTGCGGCTGCTGTCTCCGACAGCGGCCGCCAAAGGTGAGGTGGGGAGAGGACGACCGGCCGGCGGGCGCCGTACCGCCTCCCCGCTCCGGTCCGGCCCAACGACTGCAATAACGTGTGACGCTGTGTTTTGTGGCATTGTGTGACGTGTTGTGTGACATTATTTATTGGAATAGGGCTGGGTGTGCTCTGAGCAGAACGTTCAGGTCACTACCGTTAGTGTTCCATCGGTGCCAAGAAGCCTCTTCCTGCTGGATAAGGCCTTCGATGCATCTATATTCTATAGTATTGAGCCCTGAAATAGGCGTGTTACACGACCGGACACGTGGCCAGAGACTGGCATTCATGGGGAGCATTATTCGCCCACAGGAATAAAGATGGTATAAACGTAAAATAAATGTAAAACATTTTTTTGCCCAAGTGACCCACATAGGTATGGGTTTCGTCGGGTGCCATGTCGGTCACACGCGTCATTCGTAGACGGGGATTTTAACTTTATTCTCATAATAAAGGGCGTGGAAGTGGTTTTTAGTGATATACTACCATAATTTTATACGACCGTGGTCGTCATAGCCATGTCTCTGTTAATATAGATGCGAGAATTTCAAACGCAGTTCCCTCACAGGTGAGACACTTCAACTGTCTTATAGAGACTTGAAAGAGACCACGCACGCTCCCCAGCCGATGGGTTGGGGTGGGCTGGTGTCACTGTCGTTCGTTCTCGCAGTTGGCGCGGGGTCGGACTGACCCGTGAGCTGGCGCCGGCAGCACCTCCAATGGCATGTCTCCACATCTCAGACAGCCATCACCAATGCAAAGCTCATTCAGTCGACAGAACGGAATGGCTGATGTATGCTCGGCCAGATTGCGGGCAGCAGTGACGGATGTCTACCAATATTCAATGCCAACTTGTGGAAACGATGCATATTGAGCCGTACGGGCTGGGAGCTGGGCTCTGATCGGTGTACCGATCCCGGCGCTGCTCCCAGCTACGAGTGATGAGCCTGTCCAACAGGCAATGGTCACACTTATAACGCTGTGAGAGGTGACGAAATTTATCGATAGGTACGGGGAACACATGCCCCTGTCTGTTTCACTTAATTCACCCATAGGGCCTGCTGCCGGTCCTTATCAGTGTATTCCTTATTCTTGTGCATTGTGCATTATGCATGTCTTACTTCCTCTGAAGCGTATTTGTGAATGTATACCGTTTAAAATAGCTTTTAGCATCTCAAAATAAAAGATCACTGTGCACTACGAAGTTCGATGTCGCTACACGTCCTGCTTGCTTTTATGGTTAGTTTAATTTCTTAGCTTCTATGATGTGAACGCTTAACTTTTGATTATGACAGTATCATGTAGGTATTCTCCTGATCTAGCGGGACGCAAAAGCAGGCTCGGGGGCGTATCGTTCAGGGCCGCTCAGATACACCGGACCGCCGCCAGTGGAGGCCGCTCAGACAGGCCGAACCGCCGATCGCGGGAGGAGGCCCGGCAGACACAACGGCTCTGCGGTCAGTCGCCGACTGCAGGCTGAGGCCATACATATACCGAGAGACCCGGCTCTGCGGCCAGTCGCCGACTGCAGGCTGAGGCCATACATATACCGAGAGACCCGGCTCTGCGGCCAGTCGCCGACTCCCCACTGCAGGCTGAGGCTATATACCGAGAGACCCGGCTCTGCGGCCAGTCCCCGCTGCAGCCTGACTCCTGAGGTCCTGAGGCTATATGTATACCGAGAGACCCGGCTCTGCGGCCAGTCGCCGACTCCCCACTGCAGGCTGAGGCTATATACCGAGAGACCCGCGGCCTGTTTACCGCCGGCGGCAAACATTTACGGCGCCGGCCGAGCGCTCTCGGCGCGCCACGTCGCCGCCGACTCTGGAGCTTAGTGCCGCGTCGCCGCCGACTCTGGAGCCTAGTGCCGCGTCGCCGCTGACTGTCGGGCCGCGTCGGTGCCGACATTGGCTGAACGGCGCAGAGTCGGTGCCTAATCTGGCCGCGTCGCCGCCAACACTGGGAGGTCGGCACTGCGATCGTCGCGGGCCGACGCGACGGCTCAGGTCGGCACCATTTGTGGGACACAGACGTCGGTCTATGGTTGTCACTATGGTGGTCTATGGTTGTCACTATGGTTGTCTATGGTTGTCACTATGATGGTCTATGGTTGTCACTATGGTGGTCTATGGTTGTCACTATGATGGTCTATGGTTGTCACTATGGTGGTCTATGGTTGTTAGTTACATATGTACAAGTTGATCAGTGCGGAGTGGAGCAGAGCAGAGCAGATCGTCGGGATGGTGCCGTCCCTGTGGAAGTGCCCGGGGGGGGGGGGGGGGGGTTGGCTGCCGACAGACGCCGTGGTGTTGCCGTTCGGTGCAGCGCAGCAGTCTCCAGAGGAGCACGACTGCACTGCCGTGGTGGCCAGCCCTGCTCTGCCGCCCGCCCTGCCACAGTGACCGCACCATGCTCTGTTTTCCCTGCCGCGGTGGCCGTCCCCATGCGCTGTTTTCCCTGCCGCGGTGCAGTGGCCGTCCGTGCTCTGTGCTCCCTGCCGCGGTGACCGTCCCTGCTCTGTCCGCCCATACTTCCCAGCACACAGACCTACGCGTCACTGTCTCTTATGTCTATGAATGCAAGCTCGAGTCAGTTCGAGTACAACATCGAACATGCTCCTCTTAGTTCGATGTTATACTCGAGCTGACCTCACCTGATGTCTCTAATTTCGGTCTGGTACGCGTGCCGGTCTGACCTGACCCGGCGCGAGGCTGTCCTGTCGGCGCGGTGCCCCAACTGCTAGTCTCTGGCCGTGGCGAGGTATACTGTGCTAGGTCGGCCGCTCTGCGCGGTCCCCACTGACGGGCCGGCCGGCGCCGGCAGGCCCGCCGCTCCCCGGTAGCTCACGCCCGGCTGACCGTTGCGGGCAGGTCCGCCAGTGCGCGTGCGGCCGGTGTCGGCGCACCTGGTGGCGCGGCTGGGCGGCGCGGCGCGGCTCACCTGTCCCGTGGCCGGCTCGCCGCCGCCGCTGCTCGAGTGGCGCAAGGACGGCGCCCAGGTGCTGCCCGGCTGGCGCCGCTTCAGCCGGCAGGGCAACACGCTGCACGTGGCCCGACTGACGGCCGACGACGCCGGCGTCTACGTGTGCGTGGCCGTCAACGGGTTCGGCACCGAGCGCGTCACCACCGAGCTGTTCGTCATCGGTGAGTCGGCCGCCGCCGCGCGCTGTCCGGGGGTGAGTCGGACTCCGCTGCCGTCCGGGGATCGGCCCGCGGCTGTCCTGGGTGAGGGACCGACCCGGGGATCGGGGCCCAGAACACCCCGAACCTCTCGTGGAGCGTGCTTCCGTCCGGGATCGATCCGGGCCCCGGGGGCGACCAGTCGACCGAGGAGAGGAGAGGACTGAGGAGAGGCGCCCCCTCGGCGCCCCCTCCGGCCAGTGAGCGTCTGTCGGGAAGTGCGCTGGGACCGGAAAGGGGCGGCTCTCTCAGATCCCCGGTGATTAGCGGCTGCTCTCTGCAGTTCATAGCACCTGCTCAACAGGCGCACGCAGTTCGCCCTCCGAACTCATCGACGGATTGACTGAATAAGATGATCAGACTCACCGGACCCAAGTTAAACGAGGTCATGTGATGGTTTGTGTGTGTCATCGTACCTCACTGAAGGATGCCACTGGATTATGTGAGCCCGCAGATTTATACGGGCGTTTGAGTTCGGTCTGTGGCCGTGCCGACAGACCCGGAGACGAGCGGCGCGCCGGCGCTGTCCGGCGGCGGCGAGGGGCCGGCCGATAACCTGCTGACGTCCGTCCACGGGCCGCCGGTGATCAGCGCCTCGCCCGACCACCCGGACCGGAGGGTGCGCGCGCCGCTCGGCTCGCGGCTCCAGCTGGGCTGCGCCGCCGACGGCCACCCGCCGCCCCAGCTCAAATGGTACAAGGTCAGTCGCAGCTCAAATGGTACAAGGTCAGTCTCAGGTCAAATGGTACAAGGTCAGTCTCAGGTCAAATGGTACAAGGTCAGTCGCAGGTCAATTGGTGCGAGGTCAGTCTCAGGTCAAATGGTACAAGGTCAGTCGCAGCTCAAATGGTACAAGGTCAGTCTCAGGTCAAATGGTACAAGGTCAGTCTCAGGTCAAATGGTACAAGGTCAGTCTCAGGTCGAATGGTACAAGGTCAGTCTCAGCTCAAATGGTACAAGGTCAGTCTCAGGCCAAATGGTACAAGGTCAGTCTCAGGTCAAATGGTACAAGGTCAGTCTCAGGTCAAATGGTACAAGGTCAGTCTCAGGTCAAATGGTACAAGGTCAGTCTCAGGTCAAATGGTACAAGGTCAGTCTCAGGTCGAATGGTACAAGGTCAGTCTCAGGTCAAATGGTACAAGGTCAGTCTCAGGCCAAATGGTACAAGGTCAGTCTCAGGTCAAATGGTACAAGGTCAGTCTCAGGTCAAATGGTACAAGGTCAGTCTCAGGTCAAATGGTACAAGGTCAGTCTCAGGTCAAATGGTATAAGGTCAGTCTCAGGTCAAATGGTACAAGGTCAGTCGCAGGTCAATTGGTACAAGGTCAGTTCAGGTCAATTGGTGCGAGGTTAGTTCCAGGTCAACTAGTGCTAGGTTAGTCTCAGGTCAATTGGTGCGAGGTCAGTTTCAGATCAACTAGTGTGAGGTCAGTCCCACGCCAAATGCTGCGAGGTTTGTCTCAGGTCAAATGGGACAAGGTCAGTCCTAAGTCAAAGGCACGTGATCAGTCTGAGATCACCGGTCAGGGGTCAATGACAGCAGTAACTGATAATGTAAACCAAGGTGCAGGTAACCCCCAGCTGCCACGTGTCTGTGCGCCACAGGCGGGTCGGCCGGTGCTGCCCAGCACTCGCCTCTACGTACAGGAGGACGGCCAGCTGGTGTTTTCCCAGCTGGTCCGCTCCGACGAAGCCGTCTTCATCTGCGTGGCCTCAAACATATTCGGCTCGGCCAACCACAGCTTCAGCCTGCAGGTCTCCGGTGAGTGGACCGCCGACTCCCGACTCCTGACCGACAACGTCTGACCGGGGACCGCTGACAGACCGCTGCCGACCGCTGACAGACCACTGCTGACGGCTGCTGACCGCTAACACACCACTGCTGACCGCTGACACACCACTGCTGACCGCTGGCACACCACTGACCGCTGACAGACCACTGTTGACCGCTGGTAGACCGCTGCTGGCCGCTGACCGGACCCGGCGGAACGGAGCATGCCCAGGTCGCTCGGCGCTGCCGCTGAACCGCTGTCCTCAGGCTCGGTCGGGTGGTTGGGGCTCGATGTGTCGCCCATCCTCTGCGGCTCGGCCGTCGCTCTGTCTGACAGCCGGGCCCGCGTGTCCCCCGTTCCCCAGAGCCGGTGTCTGCCGACCCGCTGTTTCTGGAGGTGCCGGCCAACTCCACGGTGGCCGAGGGTGACACCGCCGTGCTCAGGTGCCGCGTGCAGAGCGTCTCCAAGGCGCACCTCAAGGTAGGGCTCGGCCGGTGGTCAGCCGTGGCGCGTGCCGTGTGCGGGCCGAGACCGAATGGGAGCAGTCACTGCGTCACCGCGACACCAGGCGGCGCACGCCATAGCCGCACAAACAGTAGTCCGTAATCCAGCCCGTGTATAAGGAGTGGACCCCCTCCCCCACCCCGCCCCGTGAGTCACGCTTGTTCAGCTGACTATTCTCCATAGATTCCCGCAGGAGCGGCACTGCCCGTTCGGTAATGGTGAACTGCCTCGTCTGCCCTCGCCTCGCTGATATACTCTAGCCGCTGACGCTCCGTGACCCCACCTCCCGTCCCTATGTTGACGCTCCGTGACCCCGACTCCCGCCCTCTGCTGAGTGCTGAAGTTCCGTGACCCCACCTCCGGCCCTCTGCTGAGTGCTGAAGTTCCGTGACCCCACCTCCGGCCCTCTGCTGAGTGCTGAAGTTCTGTGCCACCAACCCCTGCCCCTCCGCTGACGTTCTGTTGCCCCGGCGCCCGCTGCTGAGCCCGTGTCTGCGCGCTGACCGTCCGGCCGTGCCGGCAGTGGGTTCGGCGACTGTCGGCCGGCGCCGCTCCCACCTTCAACCACACGCAGACGGTGACCATCAAGGGGCGCCGGTACGCGGTCCTCTCCGGGGCGTCCAGCTCGCAGCAGGGCGACCGGTTCTCCAGCGAGCTGCGGCTGCCGGCCGTGTCCGTCGAACAGCAGGGCGTCTACGTCTGTCTGGCCGCCAACGGACACGGCTACCTGGGCCGGGAGGCGCTCCTCCAGGTGATCTCAGGTGAGGTCGGGCGATCACTGGGGTCACTGGGGTAGGGGATCGCTGGGGTCGGGGAGCACTGGAAGGTGCCGGCAGACGCCGACTGCAGCGCCTCCATTTGTTGTCACTTTGCATCTTTTTTTTTTTTGCATCGAAAGACCCAGCTGGTGCGAGGCCAGCAACAAACCCATAGATGACGTTCTCAGAGCGGCGACTGCCGCCGCCCGCCCGACTGACTGACTGACGCGTTCTTTCGGCCGCAGCTCCGCCCAGCTCGGCGCCGGCGCTGCTGCTGGCGCTGCCGGCGGTCGCCGTGGTGGCGCTGGTTCTCGCCGCTGCCTGCTGCCTGCACCGGCGCCGACAGGCCGGGCCGCCGCCGCCGCCGCCGCCGGCGGCCGCCGACCGCAAGAGGAGCCGGCGGCCGGCGGCGGCGGGCGCGCTGCCGTCGGGCGGGCGCACCGACCACGTGTCGCCGCGGTACCCGGGGGACGGCCAGCGGACGGTGCGCGCCGCGCTGCTGCCGCCGGCCGCACGGCCTGGCGCCGACGGCGCCAGCGTGTCGCACAAGCACGAGCCGGCGCCGATACTCGACTACCGGCAGCTCCGACATCTGGACGTCGTGTGAGAGAGGTCTGAGCCGGCATGGGCGGCCCGAACCGGCGTGAGCGGCCCGAGCCAGTGGGAGCGGTCTGAGCCGGCGTGAGCGGCCCGAACCGGCGTGAGCGGCCTGAACCAATGTGAGCGGCCCGAGCCGGCGTTGGCGGCCCGAACCGGCGTGAGCGGTCTGAGCCGGCGTGAGCGGCCGGAGCCGGCGTGAGTGGCCCGAGCCAGTGAGAGCGGCCTGAACCAATGTGAGCGGCCCGAGCCAGTGCGCGCCGCCCGGTAACGGAGCACAGCAGCATAAAGTGGCTGAGCAGTTAGGCACAAAAAGTAATGTGCGACCGTGGAGCCGAGTGCCAGGACAATAGTGTTGATGCGCGACTGAATATCGGAACTGGTGCGTGACCGCACAACCAACCGCCAAAACTATAGACTGTGACTGCGCAGTCGAGTGCCAAAACAACAGTGCGACCCCCAGGCTGAGGGTCAAACCTCTGAGCGTGGTATGCGCGGCGGAGCGTCTGATACAGGGTGTGGATGCGCGGCGGAGCGTCGGATACAGGGTACGGATGCGCGGCGGAGCGTCGGATACAGGGTGTGACTGCCGCTCGGGTCAGTATCAGAACCACAGGGTATGGAGTATGGTAGGTATGTCGAGCTGCAGCACCGAGTGGTGGTGCCTGGAGGCAGCGTGTGCTGGCTGGACGGGTCGCCCGTGATCCCAGGTACGGACGGAGGACACCGTCCGGCCGTCTCCGGGAGCAGCCCACCTAGTCAGAGCGGACCGGCGCGGCCACCGCCGGCGGCGGTCTCACCGCAGCGCGGCCAGCGACACGGAGTGTGCCATATTGTTCTACGTGATGTGTGTCCACTGTCCAATGCTCATTGAGAGGCTCCTAGAGCACATGTGTGTATGTTTTCACAAAGTCGAATGCTTATCGTAACAGTTTTCATTTATATCATTCCTCTGAGAGCAGGGCAATATACACAACTTTAAAACAAGTTAGTTTGCTAGCTCAGCATTCGATAGTCAAAACAAACGCAATCAAAACAATACATCGCCAACTCATTTGGGGCTTATATTACCGGTTCACAGGACTAGAGCCCCCGATAACTAAGTGGCAACGAGACTTCCTAGACGCCGGCGCTGCTGAGAGTTCCGCCAGCCGCCCCCATCCCATAAGCACCCTAGCACGCCCCACAGCGGGGCCGCGGCCACGGACACCTCCGCGCCCAGTGGCCGACGGATGGCGCGCAGGCACTGGCTGGACTTGGACGTGTAGGTATATACGCGCTAAGCGGGTGCGGCAGCTTCGCAGCGAAACAAGGCACAAAAGCTATCGGCCCGGCGGCCCGGCGGACGGCCGCCTCCGGGCCCGTGACACTCACAGCCGGTCGGGGCGGGGGCCGGTCAGCGCGGGGTGGGCGGCGGCCGGCCGTCCAGCACCGGCGGCTTGCGGCGCTCCCTGACCGACACGGGGCCGACGCTGAGCCGCGGCGCCGACCACCGACCCGCCGGCGGCGCGGCGGCGGCGGCGGCGGCCGGCCGAACGCCCGCGGACGCCGGCTGGCGCCGCGCGCACGGCGCCGCGGCGGGCGGCGGGCGCGGCGAGCGGGCGCCGCGGCTGGCAGGAGCCGGCCGGCCGACACCGGCACCGGGCGCCGGGCCGCCCTGCACATCACACTCGGCCAGCTCCCTGCTCAGCGTGGAGAGCACCACCTCCTGTAACCAACCCACAGCGAGTCAGAGAAAACACAGCACAACCTCCTGTAATATCCGCACAAGACGACCATGCGCTCACGTATTTTCAATCAGCTCTCCTTGCGCGAATTGACATTGTTGTGGTCGATTTCATAATGACTAGATTCCAAAACTCAACATTACCTGCTTTATAGCAGATAAGTTTAATTTCGACATAGGTACGTACCATAACTTGACATCAGACACTGTAGCCATCACCATACCGTCCCTGTTTACCATCACCATACCGTCTCACATTTCCGCTACATTTAGGGGCTCTCCGGTCTCCCGTTCATATTGACGAGCATTGATACGCCTCAACGGATACTGTGATGCAACACCTTAAAAAAACTCAAATCCGTTCATAGATGACGTTGCTACCGCGCGCCTGACTGATGCTGTGCCGCAGGACCTTAGTCCTCACAACTCATATCCCTGTTCATATATCGACACCTTTTTTTAAACCCCACATCTGCTCTCCCGTGAATTTCCGGGAGGCACGAAAGATCTCCTTTTAAAAGTGTCCAATCGTCCGATCCTGATTAAATATGTGTGTTCGGAGGCCTGTTCTGGTATTGCTTTATCTGCCAAGACAGACAAACTTGAGAAAAATCGAGTGATTGTACCTTTTTTGAAGGTCTCTAACCAACTTGTCCGAAATTCACCGGAGAACAAATGTGGGGTTTAAAAAAAGGTGTCGATATAGCGTTATAACCGCGCGCCCGAATGATGCTGTGCCGCAGGACCTTAGTCTTCACAACTCCCGTTCATAGATTTCGTAGGATCCCGTCCATAGATGGCGGTGCTATTCGGCGCCTGAATGATGCTGTGCCGCAACACCTAACAACTCATTCCCATCCATAGATGGCGTTGCTAATCGGCGCCTGAATGATACTGTGCCGCAGTACCTAGCGACTCGTATTCCTCTCCATAGATGGCGTTGCTATTCGGCGCCTGAATGATACTGTGCCGCAACACCTAACAACTCATTCCCCGTCCATAGATGGCGTTGCTAATCGGCGCCTGAATGATACTGTGCCGCAGTACCTAGCGACTCGTATTCCTCTCCATAGATGGCGTTGCTATTCGGCGCCTGAATGATACTGTGCCGCAACACCTAACAACTCATTCCCTGTCCATAGATGGCGTTGCTAATCGGCGCCTGAATGATACTGTGCCGCAGCACCTAGCGACTCGTATTCCTCTCCATAGATGGCGTTGCTATTCGGCGCCTGAATGATACTGTGCCGCAGCACCTAGCGACTCGTACTCTCCTCCATAGATGGCGTTGCTATTCGGCGCCTGGACGATGCTGTACCGCAACACCCGTTGTTATCCAGCGTGCGACGCACAGTGGCCCTTTTTCAGAATTAGCACGCATAAATTCAAAATATTTTTTCTCTTCTTTTGAGTAAAAAGCAGTCTAATCGTGTGCAAAACATTCCAAACTATCCGATGGTGCCATTTTTACCTCCTAAAAAATAATTATCTTTGGTAAAACTGACCGCAAAATCGAAGTTTGTCGAGAGGCGCGCGGACACCACCGGCGGACCCTAAAAAGTAGGGTGAGATGAACATCAATTTGTAAGACTTTCGTTGAGAAAATATTAAAACTTAGTGGCATGGCTGTGAAGCTGAGTTTACGTAGAAGCCCTAGAAACCACTATTTTCATTGTATTAACTTAAATAGACCACTTTTGCCGAATATTGTGGACACAATAACAGGACAATTATTAACTGGAGATGGCGGCATACATATGAAGCTTTATGTTAAGTAGAACACTCTGGAACATGTCGTATTATACATCGTTCGAATCGCCGATCTCTTCTGAACATGTCCACCAAAGGGCATCGCGCCATTTTGCGCCATTTTGCTTCTACGGTGGATAACGTGAGCCAGTTCAGTCCGCGAGCGGCTGTGGCTCCTGTTCGATACGACTAAGCTCATTGACCTGGCTCGAAGCTGGTGTCACCTGGTGTGCGCCTAAATGTGGCTTGACTTTTGCCATAAGATGTGCTAATTGAAATGGCATGTAGGCATAACGCTGTGCCCAAGAAAAACTGTCCGATTTCTTGTCGCGTTTGATGTCCAAGCCGCACAAGTCCCGTGGTCGGCTTAAGATCTAACGTCAAAAGCGCCTATGTGTTTGTATTGTTCGCGTCGCGCTGACCTTAGTTGCTGCCCGGCAGGGGCCGAACGGTTGCTGGCAACAGCTGTAGATGCGGTCACGTGACGCCCTGGGGCGTCCTGGCGGTCAGTGCAGCGCGGTCGGCTGGCGGGCTCGTCACACTTGCGGTCTGAGCGGCCTGAGCCGGCGGGCGAGCCGTGCGAACGTGCGCCAAATCTTGGGCCGAGCGGCCTGTCGCTGTTGGGCCGAATCTCCTTGGGCAGTTCGTTTCTTTTCTTCTCTTTGCATTGGCAGGGAATACGTCCTTGATCACTTGGTGATGTCTTGCACCACTTTCAGGTAATGTGGGAATTAATGCGTGCTAATTCTGAAAAAGGGCCACTGTGCGACGGTCTGTCACTATTGAACGATGGTGTGCCGCGCTACTCGTTATCGGCAGCCCCGTCCGCAGAGGGCGTTGTGTCTGTGGCGTCGAGCCACTACGGCGCTGCACAATACGGAGGCAGCTCCAGTCACAGTGCGGCGCCATACGGTCTTAGCACAATAAATCGATAATGCATAGTAATCCGTAGGACTTCCCTACATATTTGTCATGGATTTTGATCACACAACAGTTCACTTCCCCGTCCCAAACATCCCCGTCCCGGTAAGAATAAGACTTTCAAGTCTCAGCACATTAGCTGCCGACCACAAATTCTACGTGCAATATTTCAATAGCGAACCATCAGCCTGGTGCGTGTTCTAGTTGGGGATGACTGCTGAGTCAGCAGACTTGTAAACGATTCAACTCTGATTGAATCGATTCTCATGAATCGCTTGAAAATGCCGACTCACTGTGATTGAGTCGGTTGAATCACCTCTTGTCACCATATGAATCCTGATTGAATCGGTCACACATGGCAACTGCAAGTGATTGAATCGGCAACTCATCGATTCAAGTTGATTCAATTAACAAAATGATTCAATCACCATGTGCTGGAAATTGAAGTTATGACCATATTTAGTACTATATTATGTGGAAATATATGTGGCATTTGCATCATAGTCACACACAATGCACTGCAAAATTTTTAGGTATTTTGTCAGCATTATAAATGCGCATAGCTATCAGTATTGAAAAAAAAAACATAAAAATTTTGTTTTAAGTTTTTAATC